ACATGTGATATCGCAAGTTCCGGAAGTGTCGATCTGCAAAAATACAAAGCGAGAAACAGATCATCATATTGATCCACCTACAATTAATGACCGTCAATAGAGACAGACATTCAAATACGTTATAATAAATAAGCCACCATTTGTTAACAGAACAGAGTTTTCGTGAGAGTAAGACCCTTCTGTCTGGAGGGACGAGGAACTTCCTTGGACCTTTCCTTCCGAGAAACACTTAAAAATGGACCACTTTACTACTTACAGGTCTGAGCTGCTGAGTGAATTACATTACACCAGTCAATAAAATTTTAATCTCACGCCCTCACCGTCGAATGTTGACGGATGACCTGATCTATCGCTGAATATACATAGGATGAGAAGTTGACACATCTGAAATGTTGAGGGGTTCATACTTGTTTCAACTCTAGTGCTACTAGATATTATTAAAATTAGATAACTGCCAGATGTCCTACAGGAGATGAAGTGGGTGCAACAAAACTTTTCGACTTGAGATAGAGCCCGCAACTGCTGTTAGGAATAGCACATGGTAGTAAATGCATACACAAACAAAGAAAATAGAAATCACAATTACTTTGCTAGTTAGGATACCTAAATCAACTGACTCGTAAATCGGCAAAGCCAATTAAACTCAAGTTACTTTATCAGTTGCTTGACAATCGGTGACAGGCTCATTTGTGTGTCCGTCGTCCCGAGTTTAAAGGTGGAAGGAGAAGGGAGAGTATTTACCTGTGTTTGATGAAGTTAGGTACAGTGAGGTGGATGCCGATGATACGAATCACGAAAAGAACTAAGAAGATCAAATATTGGATTAATTATTTCATTTTCAAAGTAACGGCATGAATGGTCGGCCGTTGGGGTTGCTCACGGCTTGGTGATTTGAAATGAATTGGTGTTCCAAGTTGGATACCGGATAGTTGGGCGGTGGACCGTTCCACTTGTTGACTTTTCATCTGGGTTTCGTATGAAAATGAAAATCAGCCTCTAAAAGCATTTGAATCGAAGTATGCGAAAACGTCCGATGTCCAAAAAATCAACTCTTGGTAAACCGCAAAAAACTGTGGAGGCCTTTAGAATCGGCGTTTTGAAGAAAATCAAGGCATGTGTTTCTTAGTAAAGGGTTATAGAAAAGGCACACAACTGTGTCCCATTCCAACTCCCATTCAGTGCTGAGTAATTGTAAAAAAAGGGCTTTGGACATCGGACGTTTTCGCATACTTTGCAAAAATCTGCCCAAAAACCATTATTTTTGACCCCTCCAAAAACCTTTAAACTAGAGTAAAACATAATGTCAGACCTCCAGTAACACAAAAAAAAATTTTTCTCTTTTCTTCGAGGCTTCAGTGAAAGTTACGTGACGGCGGAAGAAGAAAAATAATGGACATCGGACGTTTTCGCATACTTTGAGATTGCCCCTCGAGATATGTGTTCAGGATTGCCTAGAATGCATGTAATCGATTAGAATTATATAAAGTAGGGTGAAATTATTCATCTTCAGAGGGTCCTGAACGAGAATCCAAATTTGCCCCCTCGACTAATCATGGGAACCCCCCCGAAAACCCCCAACATCAAAAAAACAGTCAGAAATTGGTTATTTTCTCTCGTTGTTCTGCTACTAGCGCACGTTTTGAGAGCAGAAATTTTTTTCTCATATAATTTCTCATCGATAGGGAGTTCTTAACGAGAATCCAAATTTGCCCCCTCGACCAATCATGGGGACCCCCCCGAAAACCCCTCCATAATCGAAACAACTGTCAAAAATCGGTTATTATCTCTCGTTTTTCGGCTACCATCGCATGTTTTGGGAGCAGAACTTTTTTTCTCATTTAATTTCTCATCTATAGGGGGACCTTAACGAGAATCCAAAATTGCCCCCTCGAACAATCATGGGGACTCCTCCAAGCCCCCCCCCCCCCCGATAAAAAAAACGGTCAAAAATAGGTTATTCTCTCGTTTTACGGCCATTATCGCCAAAGCCGTTTATTTTAAGACAGAGTTTGTGGATCTCACATGAAAGCAGATAAAAATTCGGTCTTATTTAACCCGGTTTGAAATTTTTCTGATGAAAATTGCGGTCACTACAGGGTTCTCATAGATAGCCCAAAATTTTCAAAATTTCGTTTTTTAATGGTTTTTTGCTTGTAACTGTTGTTCAGCTATTCTTTAAAGTAAGTAGATCCTTTCAAATGAAAATAGATTCAAAATGCTACAAATTCGTGTATCAAGCTTGTCCTTAGAGCGTAACGAGACGGCACCCCAGCGTTGCAAAAGTTACCGTCTCAAAATGGATTTTCCGGGGCGGAATGAATTTAAGGCCCGCGCAGCCGCGACACGTAAGAGGCGATGGAGTATCTGTGTGAGAGGTGGTGTGTGTGTCTGTGGGGGGGGGGGGTATGGAATCCCCAGGGACTAGGTGAGTCCGACGGATCTCCCTTGGAAACTTTTGGAAAATTAAGACACTTCAGATCCCAATGTTGTCGATTTCGAGGGGGGAGGGAGGGTTAAAAGTAAAAATAATGGAGTGGAAAAAAGTACGAGGGTCATCCAATGAGGTTCCCTACCTCTTATCTTCCAAACGGAAAGAGATGAATCAAATCGGTAAAAAAGTTCTTATAAGGCATACTCTAAGCTTTAAAAGAAGCTCAAGTTTTTGAAAATTGGTCGAGGGGTTCGCGAGAAAACTTAATTTTACTGCGACAACTTCCTGTCGCCGCGCGCCCACCTTCGGAGTCTGGATGCGCGGAGAGTCGATTATTTCAGACTTGGGTTTTCGCCGCTAAGCATCATATCAAGAAGAAATTTGAAGGTTTTTATTGAGTAGACCTTACCTTACTTTTTGACGTAGTCCCTGCCTCTGTTTTGACATTTCTGATATCAATATTGCAGCTTCTTGATGCCTTCCGCGTAGAAGCTGGCTCTTGTCTTGGCACCGAAACCAGTCATTGACAAGTCATCTACACTTCCGAATCAGTTGCTTTGCATAAGAAAATTCCCGTCAATCTTCCGTACTCTTACGATTCAGCCTCATGTGACTTTCGTCTGTTCACTGAGCTAAAAAACTTCCTCGGTGGAAAGCGGAATCCGAATGATTCGGAAGTACAGAGCGCTGTCAATGACGGATTCCGGTGCCAAGACAAGAGCCAGCTTCTACGCGGAAGGCATCAAGAAGCTGCAATATTGATACCAGAATTGTCAAAACAGAGGCAGGGACTACGTCAAAAAGTAAGGTAAGGTCTACTCAATAAAAACCT